GTCCGCCACCAGGAGAGGGAGAAGAAGTGTGTACCCAATTAGGAAGGGGTAGGCGTAGAACACGCAGTGCCCCGGGCGGCAAAAATGGACGATGTCATACCCTACCGCCTGCTGCATTTCGACATAATGGGGAATTCCCCACCTGGCTTTCAAATTTGCGATATACTCCTCCTTTATAACTGAGTGGACAGGTTCCGACTCTTCCCCAGCACGACTGCTGAAGTCAGTCCATGCTTTTTCAGGACGAGGCAAGATCTCTGCTACCGATGGGACATCCTCATCCTCCACCACTTCTGTTCCTCCGGTGGTGATAACTAGGGATTTTGATACATTTTATACTCCTTCTTGCTTAAGTTTTGATTAGAAATGTGTACAAAATAGTCCCAAAGGCTCACAAGTTGTGCTTGATTGCAGGTTTGATCAACAAAGTGACAAGAAGTCAAAGACCAGCTCAAAAGGAGTGAAACTTGCACAAGTATCAAGACAAGAAAAAGCTCAGGCAAAATAAGGGCAGTGCGGCCGCACACCATTCTATGCGGTCCGCAGTTTGAGGTTCAGAGAGGTGGCATTCAGGCAAAAAGGGCAATGCGGCCGCACTAGGTATTGTGCGGTCCGCACTAGGATCGATGCGGCCGCACTCGATTTAGTGCGGTCCGCAATAAGAAGGATCAAAGAGTTGCTAACTTTCGAGTTTCAAGCCAATGCGGTCCGCGCTCCATTTTATGCGGACCGCACTAGAAGCCTCCACGTCCGCAGTCCATTCTCTGCGGTCCGCAGTGCCTGAGTTCAGAGAGATGGGTTTTCAAGTTTAGAGCCTTAGTACGGCCGCACACCATTTTTGTGCGGTCCGCACTAGCCTGGCAGGGGTATTTTTGTCCAGAATTGTCAGCTTAGTATAAATAGAGTCTTTTCCATTTTTAGAGGAGGCATATAGATTTTGTACTGAGCTGCACTCGTGACTTCCGTTTCTTTAGCTATTTTGGGCAATTTTATCTTCATTTCAACATTGAATCTTCTAGTTTCTCTCAGTAATTAATTAATATGAGTTTTTCTTCTTCTATTTCTTTGTTTCTCTCTTTATTTATGAGTAGCTAGACCCATCAGCTAGGGTTGTGGCTCAACCCAAGTGTGGGTAATTGATGGGTCTTGTATTTTAGAGCTTGATTGACTATGGGTGTTTGATATCTGGGCTAATTCCATGTTTAATTGCTAAATTAGTGGTTGCAAACACTAGTTTGTGTTTAGTTGACTTTTGCTCTTCTTGAGAAATAGAGCCTAAGTCTCTAGAATTAGTCCAACAAGGAATTGGGGCGTACTCAAGAGAATTGATAGCCCCAATTAAAGGGTTAAACCGAGAGATCGTAATACCCGACTTGATCCTCATTTGCTTGTGCAAATTCGCATACCCAATTGGTCTTGAGAGAGTCAATTCGGGCAAAACCACTCGAACTACCAAGAGGTATAGAGTGAGTAGAATCGAGCAATGGTTATATCATACTCCCCAAATATGTCAATCTAGCTTTAGATTCAAGAATCCGTCAATTGACCACCTAGGCGAAAGTCACTACCCTAGTGCCCTTTAATCATTTGAACAACTTGCAATATTTTAATTCTAGCTTATAATAGTTTGATTGAGCATTGTAGTTTATAGAATTAGAATCATAATTAAAACCCCAAAATGTGTAGAAGTGCAATTTGGAGCAAATACACAACTCCGCTTTAGATAGACACCCAACTCCAATATCTAGCTCTCTGTGGAATTCGATCCCGACCCTAAATCGGGTAAAAGCTGCTTTGACCTCTCTCGCTACTTAATAGTAGTGCAGGGTTGGCCGTGATCAACTTTTTGGCGCCATTGCCGGGGAGCTAATGGTTTTGGCTATCTATCTAAATAGATTTGTGTTTTGTTCTTCTTTCCTTCTTTGTTACTAATTTGTGAGTGTTAGTACTTCAGGTACAAAAAATGGCATTAAACGCTAATGACCCTCTTGGAAACGTGATTTGTGGGGGAGGAGGTTGATGACAATGGAGATGAAGAGGTGCCTCTTGCACCTCAAGGACAACGTAGAGGCCGCCAGGCCAAAGCAAATGAGAATAATCCAGACCCTCCTCCGCCACCTCCAAGAGTGGCTCCCAGAGTTCTTCCCAACCAAGGCTATGCGAGTGCAATTGTTCCGCCCCGGATCCGGGCAAGCAATTTTCAAATAACCAACATGATGCTGACATTGTTGGAGCAGCGAGGGTACTTCACGGGTGCTCCCACTCAAAATGCTTACAAACATCTCAAGGGGTTCGTGGATACCTGTTGGGGGAGCAAGCAAATTAATGTGTCCGAAGATGCACTTCGATTGAGGCTTTTCCCATTTTCACTTAGAGGAAAAGCATTGGATTGGCTTGAGCGACTCCCCAACCATTCCATCACAACTTGGGATGAGTTGGCGGATAAGTTCATTGCCAAATTTTTCTCACCAGGGCACATGGCAGCACTACGGGATGGGATCTTAGCCTTCAAGCAGGAGCCCACCGAACCATTGCACGAGATTTGGGAGCGATATAGAACTATGGTAAAGGAATGCCCCAACAATGATATGACGAGGCTATGATACAACAGACTTTCTATCGGGGCATCAATACAACGAATCAGTGCATAGTGAATCAATTGGCTGGGGGAAATTTCATGAAGCTGCCTTATGATGAAGCTTGTGCTATTCTTGATGAAATGGCTGACACATCCTCTGCTTGGCAAAGTAGAGCCAATGTGCCACAGGGTGACCCCTTGGTCACTCATTTGCACAAAGAACTACATGACCATGGACAGGCTATAGCAGAACTTACAACAACAATGAACCAATTAGCAAAGGCACAATTGCAACAAGTTCAGAATCCTCGCCAAGTAAATGCCATGGAGGGTGTCAACATGCTTGTGTACAATAGAAGACAGAGAGGTCAACAGAACCAAGGGAATTCGGATCAATTTGACAATGATTGTGGTTGATTCCAAGATGATTGTTATGATGGGCAGAATCAAGAGGTACAATATGTGAATAATTACCAAGGCCAAAGAGGAAATTCGTCTAACCAACAACAACAGTGGAGATCCCAGGGCAATTGGGGTAACCAACAACAAGGCAACAATAATTGGAACAATCAACAACAAGGGAACAACAATTGGGGAAATCAAAATAACAATCGGAACAATCAAGGAAACTGGGGCAGCAACAACAATTGGGGTGGAAACAACAACAACCAGGGTGGATGGAACAATAACCAAGGAAATCAGGAGCAAGGCTTTCAAAGGCCCCCAATGTACCAACAACCGAGCAATCCACCACCTTTTCTATCCCAGGGTCCTAGTTCATCCAACAATGAGATGGGTAGAATTGAAATGATGTTTGAACAGATGATGAAAAAGAATGCTGACTCCGATGCGCAATTGGCTTCGCACAATACTTCAATTAGGAATTTGGAGGTCCAGCTAGGCCAAATCTCACAGTCTCTGAATACTCGCCCTAAGGGGGCTCTACCGAGTGATACAGTGGTTAACCCAAAGGGTGGTAACAATCATGATATGGCGGTAACTACAAGGAGTGGAAGAGGCGGTGATGTGAATGCCTCCAAACAAAAGCAAGTTTTGGGTGATGAAGTTGAGTTGCAAGAAGATGAAGTTCCTTTGGTGGTTGAGAATGTGGTTGATGAGAATGTGAATCAAGAAGTAAGGATTGATATTCAAGATGCCGAGGTGGAAACACAAAATGACGTGAACCCGTCTAGGGAGCACGTAATAGACATGCCGGAGCCGGTTGTGCCAAAAGCCAAGGCACCCTTGCCTAGGCCACCTCCACCTTATCCTCAGAGGCTAGCCAAGCAGAAAAATGAGAATCAATTCAAAAAGTTCATTGACATGATGAAGAGCTTATCCATTAATGTTCCTTTGGTGGAGGCTTTAGAGCAAATGCCTGGCTATGCTAAATTCATGAAAGATTTGGTGACAAAGAAAAGATCCATGGACTGTAAAACTATCAAGATGACCCACCAAGTTAGTGCCATTGAACATTCAATGGCTCCGAAGTTAGAGGATCCCGGTGCTTTCACTATCCCTTGCACTATAGGGAGTGCGGACTTTGCTAAAGCTTTATGTGATCTAGGGGCAAGCATCAATGCCCTACTCAATTTTCAAGACATTGGGTATTGGGCCACCGAGGCCAACTTCCATGCGATTGCAAATGGCAGACAGATCAATGAAGCGACCATTGGGTATTGTTGATGATGTGCTCGTCCGGGTGGACAAATTTATCTTGCCAGCTGATTTTGTGATCTTGGATTGTGAGGTAGATTATGAGGTCCCGATCATATTAGGGAGACCTTTCCTTGCTACGGGGAAGGCTCTAGTTGATGTGGAAGCAGGGGAACTCACTTTCAGGGTGGGTGATGAAAAGGTCATTTTTCATGTGTGCAAGTCAATGAAGCAGCCCAATTGTACAGAAGTGTACTCATTCGTGGATCTTGTCACGGCTATGATAATTGATGATACTAGTGCAATGATCAATGTTAAGGACCCTTTGGAGGCCGTATTGTTGAATCTTGATGTCAATGAGGGCCGAGTGGAGTGCGTGAATGCTTTACATGGAACGTGCTCTTATTCTTATGAGCCTAGGAAACTCTCTTTGGATCTTAAAAATAGAAAGACCCCTCCAACAAAGCCTTCAATTGAGGAACCCCCGATATTGAAGTTGAAGCCATTGCCTCCACACCTCAGATATGAATTCTTAGGCCCTAATTCAACTTTACCAGTTATTCTTTCCTCTTGTCTTACTAACATGCAGGTAGATGCCACATTGGCGGTGCTCAAAAAGCGAAAAAAGGCAATTGGATGGACTTTAGCTGATATTCGGGGAATAAGCCCCGCATTCTGTATGCACAAGATTATTCTGGAAGATGATGCAAAACCCTCCTTGGAACATCAAAGGAGGCTGAACGAGGCAATGCAAGAAGTTGTGAAAAAGGAGGTGATCAAGTGGTTAGATGCCGGAGTGGTGTATCCTATCTCTGACAGCTCGTGGACTTCACCGGTGCAGTGTGTGCCGAAAAAGGGTGGTATGACCGTGGTGACCAATGCTAATAATGAACTTATCCCAACCCGGACAGTGACCGGATGGAGGGTGTGCATGGACTACCGCAAGCTGAACAAGGTGACCCGCAAGGATCACTTCCCATTGCCTTTCCTTGACCAGATGCTTGATCGTCTTGCTGGGCGTGCCTTCTATTGTTTCTTGGATGGGTATTCAGGGTACAATCAAATTTTGATAGCTCCAGAGGATCAGGAGAAGACAACCTTTACTTGTCCATATGGCACCTTTGCTTTTTCTCGGATGCCCTTTGGGTTGTGCAATGCACCGGCAACATTCCAACGGTGTATGATGGCCATTTTCACCGATATGGTGGAAGATATTTTGGAGGTGTTCATGGACGACTTCAGTGTTGTGGGTGATTCATTTGATGAGTGTCTGAAAAATCTGGATAGAGTGTTGGCCCGGTGTGAAGACACCAATCTTGTGCTAAATTGGGAAAAATGCCACTTCATGGTTGAGGAGGGCATAGTGTTGGGTCATAAAATTTCAAAGAATGGTATTGAGGTTGACAAATCCAAAATTGAGGTGATTTCAAGACTTCCTCCCCCCACTTCTGTCAAGGGGGTTAGAAGTTTTCTTGGGCATGCGGGGTTCTATCGGCGGTTTATCAAGGACTTGTCGAAGGTAGTGAATCCTTTGTGCAAGCTTCTAGAAAAGGATGCAAAGTTCGTGTTTGATGAGGGATGTATGCAAGCCTTTGAACTTCTCAAGCATAAGTTGACCACCACCCCGATCATTACCACACCCAATTGGAGCTTGCCTTTCGAGCTCATGTGCGACGCGAGTGATGTTGCGGTTGGGGCAGTTTTGGGTCAAAGAGTGAACAAAATATTTCATCCGGTGTACTATGCGAGCAAGACAATGAATGAGGCTCAAAGGAACTACACGGTGACTGAGAAAGAATTGTTGGCTATTGTGTTCGCAATGGAAAAATTTCGGCCATATCTTATGGGAGCCAAAGTCATAGTGCACACCGATCATGCAGCTCTTAGGTATTTGATGACAAAGAAAGACTCCAAAGCTAGACTGATGCGATGGGTCTTATTACTTCAAGAGTTTGATTTGGAAATTATGGACCGGAAAGGTAGTGAAAACCAAATGGCGGATCATTTATCCCGCTTGGAGGAGGAAGGAAGGCCGTGTGATGGCCTAGAGATCAATGATGCATTTCCCGATGAGCAGCTACTTTCTGTGTCGATGAGTGATATGCCATGGTTTGCGGATGTTGCTAATTTCCTTGTGACTGGCATCATCCCGTGTGAGCTCTCTTCTAACCAAAGGAAGAAGCTCAAACGGGATAGTCTGGACTTCTATTGGGATGAGCCATACCTGTTCAAGATTTGCACCGACGGAGTGATCCGGAGGTGTGTACCTGAGGAGGAGCAATCTAGCATCCTAGAGGCTTGTCATTCTCCCCCTATGGTGGCCATCATGGAGGGGCGAGGACAGCTTCGAAAGTTCTAAGTTGTGGATTTTATTGGCCAACTTTGTACAAAGATGCAAGTGATTTAGTGAAAAGGTGTGACCAATGTCAAAGAGCGGGCGGTATTTTGAAGAAAGATGAGATGCCTCTAAACACCATTCTAGAAGTGGATATCTTTGATGTATGGGGTATTGATTTCATGGGCCCATTTGTAAGCTCGTGCGGAAACACCTACATTCTTGTAGCGGTTGATTATGTCTCAAAATGGGTCGAGGCCGTGGCTTTGCCCAACAATGAAGCTAGGAGTGTGGTTGCATTTCTAAAGAAGAGCATTTTCACAAGGTTTGGCACTCCTCGTGCAATTATAAGTGATGGAGGATCGCATTTTTGCAATAGAGCTTTTGACACCTTGCTTGCCAAGTATGGTGTCAACCACAAAGTGTCTACTCCTTATCATCCTCAGGCGAGTGCCCAAGTTGAAGTCTCAAACAGGGAAATCAAGAATATTCTGTCTAAAATGGTCAATGCAAATAGGACCGATTGGTCTAAGAAGCTGGATGATGCTCTATGGGCGTATAAGACTGCTTACAAAACTCCGATTGGTATGTCTCCGTATCGGTTGGTGTTTGGTAAAGCTTTCCATTTACCGGTTGAGTTAGAGAATAAGGCCATGTGGGCCTTGAGAAAGTTGAACCTTGATTGGGATGTGGCTGCAAATCTCCGGGTTGAGCAACTCAATGAACTTGATGAATTCCGTTTCCATGCCTACTCCAGTTCATCCTTGTACAAGGACAAGATGAAGTACCTTCATGACAAATATGCTCGTGGCAAGGAGTTTAGAGTAGGTGATTTGGTGCTCTTGTTCAACTCTCGATTACGGTTGTTTCTAGGAAAGCTAAAGTCAAAGTGGAGCGGACCTTTTAAGGTAGTGTTTGTGACCCCGTTTGGTACTCTTGATTTAAAGAACAAATATTGGGGAAGTTTTTAGAGTGAATGGGCATACGGTCAAGCACTATTTGGGAAAGTTTGATGATGGCCATGTGGTAGCTCTTGTTCATTTCAAATGATTGGATGGTAACATGCGTCGTGCCGCGACGTTAAATCAGGCGCTTCTTGGGAGGCAACCCATGTGTTTTTCTTCTTGTTTTTATTTGATTTTCATTGTAGTACAAGATTTATTTTTGGACTAACTGGTTGTGAGATGCTACAGGATTGTGTTGATGCAGTGCAGGACATAATGGATAAAATGATCAGGTCTCTGAAGTTTCCAATGCAGCCGCACTACATTTAGTGCGGACCGCACTGAAGAAAGGGTGAAAATAACACTCTCTGAAGTTTGCTACCGCGGCCGCAGTCCATTTTGTGCGGTCTGCGGTGGACCACTGCGGCCGTATTCCATTTTGTGCGGACCGCAGTGGTTGCCTTCTCAAGCTTTGAATCATGTTGAATGGTGCGGACCGCGGTCGATTTTGTGCGGTCCGCACTGGTTGGTAAGACTGGGCCCCAGGTCCTTTTCTATAAATAGGGCCTGAGGCCCTCCTGTTACACTTTTCGAACCTTTGGATCTCAGAACCTTAAAAGCACTGTTCATCCTGCCTGTTACTCATAATTCATTGCTTGGACTTGTTAATCTTCATCCCATCTCACATCTGGTAACTTAATGTCAATTTAATTGCTTTAATTTTGTTATTTTCTTTTCCTTTTTTTACCTGGTTTTTATTTCTCTTCTTCCCGTATTTTCTTCAATTGATTAGGTTAGGGTAATTAATCACTTGATTAGAGTAGGCTTAGGTAGTTAAAAACAATGGGCAACTACTTAGGGACTGTTATTAGGTGTAAATTTGGGCTTAAAATCAAAATTCATGAAACCCTAACTTAGTGCCACAACTGGGCACTCAGTGCGGACCGCGGTCGATTCTGTGCGGTCCGCAGTAATATTTTGTGCGGACCGCATTGCTGAATGTTGGTTTTCTGAAGTTTGGGGACTGCGGCCGCACTACATTTTGTGCGGTCCGCAGAGCAATTGTTCAGAGAATGGGTAGTTTGAACCCCACCTCTGTGCGGACCACGGTCAATTTTGCGCGGTCCGCATTGACCCCTGTGCGGCCGCACACCATTGTGTGCGGTCCGCACTATGTGACTTCTGCAACCTTCTGCATTTTTTCTGCAATCCTGCTTCTTAACTGCTGCAACTGATACTAATAAATTTATTTGGATTGTGTTTGCAGACAATGGTGAAACAACAAGGTAAAGGTTCTAAACAACCAGGCAGAGGAGAATCCTCCCGGGGAGGGAAACGGAAGATGATAAGACTGACTCCTCAAGCCCGGCAAAATATTAAGAAGACAAGAAAGTTGATAAAAGCCGCTGACAGAGCTGCTTCCCAGTCTTCGGGGAGTGAGTATGAGCCCTCCCGGGAGATTTCTTCAGACTCCGTGCCAGAGTACATCGAAGACTGGCCGGAGAGGTTTCGTTTAAGAGACACACCTCCAGCATCCCCCACTGCCCGAGCGTCAGCGAATGTTTCTTCTGGATCGTCTGCAGGCTCAGCTAAAGGTGGTGGGGAATACTCCACCTCTCCCACAGCTTCATTATCCGGAGAGGGTACAGTAGGAGCTGAAGAGGAAGTAGGAGGAGCGAGAGATGTAGGAGAAGGGGGTGAACCTCAGGTTGGCGGGGTTGATAGAACTAGGAAGCCGGAGGCATGGCAAGACCGGTTCGTGAGTGAGGTAGCATATCATTAATTCCCGGAATGGTGGCCGGTGAGGAAGTTGATCCCGAAAAGGAGTTTTGTGGATAGAGACTTGCTACCTCACAACCCCAATGTGAGGAGGTAGTTTAGGGAGAGAATTGGTTGGGAGTACTTTTTGAGTGATTGTGTAGATGCCAATGAGCACTTGGTCAAGGAATTCTACACCAACGTTACCCACATCAAAAAGGGCACCAAGGTGACCAAGGTGCGAAACCTGAAAGTGTTATTCGACGGGAAGTCAATAAATGATTATCTAGGCTTTGATGAGGAGGATGAGACTCTATATGGCAAAGATGGAATTGAGTGAAGAGGTCCGTCCCTGGTTGGCACAGTATCTGGCAATCCCAGGTACCACCCCCGATTGGTTGAATGGGGGCGTCAAGATTCTGAGGCGTAGTTTGAACTTCGAGGCAAAGGGGTGGGAAACTTTTGTGTGCAGCAGACTGGACCCGACTACTCATGACAACACCCTTCCTCTTCACCGGGCAGTGATGGTGGCGTCAATCATGGAGGGGTACCCGATAAATGTCGGGAATGTAATGTCTAGGGTAATCACACTAGTGGGCACGCAGCATGACAGAAACTACCCTTTCCCAAGCTTCTTGACTATGTACTTCAGGGACCTCAAGGTTAAGATGCCATTCGACATAAAGGTCAAAGGAAGGCCCCATTCTCTTGGTACAACATGCAGGGGGATGACAACCCCAAGAGCAAGACCTTTAAGGGAACAACTACTGCTTCAACTGGCCAGTCTGAAGAGCCAGTTGTGGTAGTGGCTCCTGCTGAGCCTGCCTCCACCTCCACTAATATCCCTCCTGGCCCATCCACCTCAGCGGACTCGGAGATACCATCTTCCCGTGCCTATCCAGTGACTGCCCACCGACTGAGCCAGGCTCTTCTCAGTATCAACAACTGGATGCAGACTGCGTCATCCAAGTTGTCTACCCTTACTACCACAGTAGAGGCTCAGTCGGCACCTCCACCTCCACAGGTCCGCCAGTCCATAGAGGATGCTATTAAGGAGATTTTGGCCAACCAACAGAAAATCCTTGACACTCAGAAGATGCTCACAGAGGCAGTTGATTCATATAACAAGGCTCTCAAGGAGCTTGCTAGGGAGCACAAGAAGCTGAGGAAGACACAGGCCTCCAAGGAGTCCGTGAAGGAGTTGAGAGCTGATGTTGATAAACTGAAGGCAGATCAGCTGCCTTTAGATTTACTGCTCCAGGACCCAATACCAGCAACTCATTCCCAGTCAGAGAAGTCACAGAGGCCTCCCAAGAGGATGAGGATAATTCCCCGAGCGGACGATGCAGTCATCCAGTTGGCAGACCCACCGGAGGCCTCCTCCAGTTAGCCACAGGATGCACCTCAGAAGCCTGTCCAGGTCCAGGCTCAGGTCCCAGCAGCAGAGCAGCAGGACACAGGGAACCAGTCTGAGGTTCTCGAGCACAGTGAGGACCCAGGGACCACTCAGGAGCCCATGCAGACAGACAGGCCATAGGGAGTCTCTATATCCTTTTCCATTATCTTTTTGGTGCTTACTTAGTTTAGTTGGCATTGGGGACAATGCCGGCTTTCATTTGAGGGGGTAGGCCCTACTTTTATGGATTCATTCGGATGATTGTATATATTTGATACTTTTTACGCTTTCCTTATTTTTCATCTTTGGTTTGTGTATAATTTTAACATTTTGTTACATTTATCGCACTTTTATTTTACTTTGGGTCTGTATATAAAGTTATGTTACATTGTACATATTCATCTCATCTACATTCAAATCCCCTTCTGTATATATTCATTCTACTTTCCGCAAATTTTTCATTCTTAGCTTCTTATTTGTGATTCGTAGCTTCTTGTTTTGAAAGTTTTGCAATAAGCCTTTGATTTTCTTAATGCCACGGTTCTTTCCAAAGGTGGAGTTTATGTGAACCGGGTGGCTCTTCCCAATGATGGATGGCATGACAACCTTCTTAAGGGTTTGAGTCCGTTTTTTTGTTTTTTGTTTTTAGTAGCTAGTGGATAAGGGTGCCTCAAGCAAAGCTTAACTTGGGCCTAGCACATTTGCCTTTGATCTTATGGTCAAAAATAATTTGTTGTGTTTAGGATGGTGAAAGTTGTTGTGACGACCCAAAGGGTCATCACCTGTTCCCTTACCCATTTTAGCACTTTCGAGGCCTTGAAAACCTCATTTAGGGTTGCCTCGATTTGCGTGCACAGTCCGGGCACGTAGCCGGAAAGCTTAAATATGAATTTTATGAGAAAAATGCTAAATTTTGATATTAAAAGGAATAAATTTGACTTCGGTCAATATTTTGGGTAAACGGACCCGGACCCGTGATTTGGTGGTCCCGGAGGGTCCGTAGGAAAATATGGGACCTGGGTGTATGCCCGAAATTGAATTCTGAGGTCCCAAGCCCGAGAAATGAATTTTTGTGTGAAATTATTTTCTCGAAATAATCAAGAAAATTGGAGATGAAATTTGAGTAGAAGACTATGGTATCGGGCCCGTATTTTGGTTCCGGCGCCCGGTACAAGTCTTATATATGATTTAAGCACTTTCTGTAAAGTTTGGTTGAAAACGGACGTCGTTTGACATGTTTCGGACTTAAAATGGAAATTTGATGTTTTATGAAAATTTGGAAGGAATCATGGATTTTGAGGCTTGATTCGATGTTCATGATGTTATATTGGTGATTTAATCACTCGAATATGTTCGTAGGATGTTTTTGAGGTAGTGTGCATATGTGGGTTGGAGTTTTGAGGGCTCGGGTGAGCTTCGAGTAGGTTCCGGGATGCCTTAGACTTAAAAGATCAGATGTTGCAGGTTCAGGAAAATATTGCAGTTCTCTGAACCCTCCAGCGCGGTCCGCGAGAAATCGCGTGCGGCCGCGGAGGGGCCAGCGCGGTCGCGGTCGCCTTTGAGCGGTCCGCAGTGGATGCTGTGCGGCCGCGGTCGGCTTTGTGCGATCGGCACAGGGCTATGATCTGCAGGTCTTAAGGGAGGCCTGTGCGGCCGCTGTCCTTTTTGCGCGGTCCGCACAGGGAGTTTCAGAGGGGTATAAATAAACGGGAATTTCAGTTATTTTACACTTTTCAGAACCCCAAAACATAAGAGGCGATTTTCCAAACAAACTTTCTTCTCCAAAACGATTGGTAAGTGATTTCTAACTCATTTTCTTCACCCCTCAACATCTTCAAACATGATTTCAACTTCAAATCAAAGATTTTCATGGGGAAATTGGGTGTTTTGGGTAGAACCTAGGTTTTTCGAAAATTGGGGATTTGGACCTCAATTTGAGGTCCGATTTCAAAATAAATTACATATTTGGGTTCGTTGGGGAATGGGTAATCGGGTTTTGGTTCGAACATCGGGTTTTGACCATGTGGGCCCGGGGGCATTTTTGACCTTTTTGAGTAAAACTTGGGAAAACTTATTTTCATGCATTGGAAATGATTCATTTAGCAATTATTAATGTAATTTAGTGAATTGTGACTAGATTCGAGCGGATTGGTGGAGAAATCAAGGGGTAAAGCTATAATTGAGGCTTGAGTTATATTCAAGGCATCGAGGTAAGTGTTTGGTTTAACCCTAGCTTGAGGGATTAGGAGTTGAGTCTTATTTGCTGTTTGTTTTGTGTCGAGTACGACGTATAGGCATGGTGACGAGTATCTATACGTTGGTGTCGAGCATGACCGTGGGTCTTAAATTGATAACTTCTTGTATTCTTAATGGATTCTATGAAAGCTTGATCGATGATTCTCGATACTGAGTTAGGATTTAGTTTATTTCCGTGGACTTTAGTTATGACTGAGTATTGGTATTATTTGGGTCAAGTAGAAGTTGCATAAGATTGGTTATAGCTGACTCTCCCTTGCCGGGACATTTGATTTGATATTTTGTTCCCTTGCCGGGAAGTTATTATATTGTTGTTCCCTAGCCGGGATTATTTTGTTATGTTGTGTTGGATTGAAATGGGAGCGGGTGGTACGCCTACCACAAGATTGATGAAATGGGAGCGGGTGGTACGCCTACCACAAGATTGATGAAATGGGAGCGGGTGGTACGCCTACCACAAGATTGATGAAATGGGAGCGGGTGGTACGCCTACCACAAGATATGAAACGGGAGCGGGTGGTACGCCTACCACGAGTTGATGAAATGGGATCGGGTTGCATGCCTGCAACGAGATGAGCTGAATATGAAAATTTTCTTTATTTCTTATTTCCGTGTTAGAAGCTAGACTGTAGATTTCTCTTCTATTATCCCTGATATTCTAGTTATATCTGTTACCTCTGAAGCATGTTCCCTCCCCCAGTTTTAATTGTTTATTTCTGTTTGCCTCTTCGTTGTATTGTATATATATATCTGCACAGGTTTATCTGGAGTCTGGTCCTAGCCTCGTCACTACCTCGCTGAGGTTAGGCCAGGCACCTACCAGCACATGGGGTCGGTTGTGCTGATGCTACACTCTGTGCTCTTTTGCATAGATCCAGGTGTCGGAGCAGCTTGCGGTGCGCAGTAGTAGCCAGGGAGGAGTCCTTCAGTCCACTAGTTTCGGAGGTAGTCCTGCAGGCGTCCGCAGGCCCGACATCTCTTTTATCCCCTTTCTGCCCTGTTTCCCTTGTACCGAGATAGAGTTTTATCATTTGTTTCAGACTTTGTATTTAGCATTCTTAGATGGTCCGTGAAATGTTGTGACACCAGGTGCTGGGTAGAGGCTTGTATTGATGTTTAGACGTTGTTGCTATATTTTCAGTGCAGACTTCCACTATCTTTTATTAATCGCAGTATTTCAATTGCTTGTTCATCTATAATTCAAATTGTTTAACCATGGATAAAATGAGTTAGAATATTGTTGGCGACTGTTCTTGGCTTGCCTAGCTTCCACCAGTAGGCGCCATCACGACTCCTGAGGGTGGGGATTTCGGGTCTTGACAAGTTGGTATCAGAGCTTTAGGTAGAGTCTGAGGGTTTGGTATGGAGACGTCTGTATTTATCCCCCAGAGGCTACTGACTTCAGAAAAATTTCGCATTTGTTATTCCTTATCGTGCGGTTTGGTTTCCCAACGCTAATTGATTTTCTACTCTGTTCTTTCGCAGATGGCGAGAACACGCGCTTCCTCATCTTCTGATCAGCAGTCCGAGCCCCGGACAGTTCCCGCTAGGGGCAGAGGCCGAGGTCGTGCTAGAGGCCGAGGTAGGGGCGGAGCTCAGCCCCGAGCAGCAGCACCAGTGGCAGAGCCTCAGGTTGACATTGACGAGGAGGTTCCGACCCCAACCCCAGCAGTTTCGGTGGGCCCAGCTCAGGTCCTAGAGGAGTTTATTGCTACCCCAGTTCTTCAGGAAGCTCTGGTCCGATTGGTGGGTCTCATGGAGAGTGTTACCCGAGCAGGTTTGCTTCCTGTAGCACCAGCCGTCTCTCAGGCTGAAGGAGGGGCCCAGACTCCTGCTACTCGTACTCCGGAGCAGGGAGCTCCCCCAATTCAGACTCCAGAAGTTCAGCCAGTTGGAGCAACTCAGTCGGGTATGGTAGCCCAGGCCGGTGATGGGGCAGCTATGTCTGCCGATGCTTTGTGGAGGTTGGATAGGTTAACCAAGCTCTTCACTACTACCTTCAGCGGTGCATCTACCGAGGATCCTCAGAATTATTTGGACAGCTGCCATGAGGTTCTTCGGAACATGGGTGTTGTTGAGACCAATGGGGTTGATTTCGCTACATTCCGGTTGTCANCAGTCAAGAACTGGCCTAGACCAGCATCAGCTACAGAGATCCGGAGTTTCTTGGGGTTGGCAGGCTACTATCGACGGTTCGTGGAGGGAATTTCATCTATTGTAGCCCCGATGACCAGATTGACCTAGAAGGGTGCCCAGTTCAGATGGTCGGATGAGTGTGAGGTGAGCTTTCAGAAGCTCAAGACAGCTCTGACTACGGCACCGGGTGTTGGTTTTGCCTACAGGTTCAGGGCCTTATACAGTTTATTGTGATGCTTGCCGTGTTGGGCTTGGAGCAGTGTTGATGCAGGATGGCAAGGTCATTGCCTATGCTTCGAGGCAGTTGAAGATTCATGAGAAGAACTATCCGGTTCATGATTTGGAGTTGGCAGCCATAGTTCACGCATTGAAGATTTGGAGGCATTATCTGTATGGCGTGGCATGTGAGGTGTTCACGGATCACAAGAGTCTTCAGTACTTGTTCAAGAAAAAGGAGTTGAATTTGAGGCAGAGGAGGTGGTTGGAGTTGTTGAAGGATTATGACATCACCTTTCTATATCATCCGGGGAAGGCCAATGTGGTGGCCGATACATTGAGTAGGAAGTCAGCCAGTATGGGCAGTCTTGCTTATATTCCGGTCGGTGAGAGGCTGCTTGCTTTGGATGTTCAGGCTTTAGCCAATCAGTTCGTGAGACTGGATGTTTCTGAGCCCAGTCGTGTGTTAGCTTGCACGGTCGCTCGTTCTTCATTATTGGAGCGTATCCGTGATCGACAGTATGATGATCCCCATTTGTGTGTCCTTAGAGACACGGTGCAGCGCGGAGGTGCCAGGCATGTTACCTTGGATGATGATGGAGTTTTGAGATTGCATGGTCGAGTATGTGTGCCTAATGTGGATGGACTCCGAGAGTTGATTTTGGAGGAGGCCCATAGCTCCCGGTACTCTATTCATTCGGGCGCCGCAAAAATGTATCAGGATTTGCGGAAGCATTACTGGTGGCGTAGAATGAAGAAGGATATTGTAGCATATGTGGCACGTTGTTTGAATTGTCAGCAGGTTAAGTACGAGCATCAGAGGTCTGGTGGTATATTTCAACGGATTGAGCTTCCCGAGTGGAAGTGGGAACGGATTACTATGGATTTTGTTACTGGACTTCCGCTGACTCGGAAGAAGTTCGACGCAGTTTGGGTCATTATTGATAGGCTGACCAAGTCCGCACATTTCATTCCTGTGGCAGTCTCCTATTCTTCTGAGAGGTTGGCTGAGATCTACATTCGGGAGATTGTTCGCCTTCATGGTGTGCCCGTATCTATCATTTCGGACCGGGGTACGCAGTTTACCTCGCGCGTCTAGAGAGTGGTGCAGCGAGAGTTGGGCACACGGTTGATTTGAGCACAGCATTTCATCCCCAGATAGACGGTCAGTCCGAGCAGACTATTCATATTCTAGAGGATATGCTTCGGGCTTGTGTTATTGACTTTGGAGGTTCGTGGGATCAGTTCTTCCCTTTAGCGGAGTTTGCCTACAACAACAGCTACCAGTCGAGCATCCAGATGGCTCCTTATGAGGCTTTATATGGTAGGCGGTGTCGGTCTCTGGTTGGATGGTTTGAGCCGCGAGAGGCTCGGTTGTTGGGTACGGATCTGGTTCAGGAGGCCTTGGACAAGGTCAGGATTATTCAGGATAGGCTTCGTTCAGCTCAGTCTAGTCAAAAGAGCTATGCAGACCGCAAGGTTCGAGATGTGGCCTTTATGGTTGGTGAGCGGGTATTGCTCCGAGTGTCGCCTATGAAGGGTGTGATGAGATTTGGGAAGAAGGGCAAGCTTAGCCCTAGGTTCAACGGTCCATTTGAGATTCTTGATCGAGTGGGAGAGGTGGCTTATAGACTTGCATTGCCGCCTAGCTTATCAGCCGTGCATCCAGTTTTTCATGTATCCATGCTTCGGAGGTATCACAGCGATCCAGCCCACGTGTTAGATTTCAGCACTGTCCAGTTGGACAAGGATTTGTCTTATGAGGAGGAGCCAGTAGCTATTCTAGACCGGCAGGTTCGTCAGTTGAGATCCAAGAGTTTTCCTTTTGTTCGTGTTCAGTGGAGAGGTCAGCCTCCTGAGGCATCGACCTGGGAGTCCGAGTCCGATATGCGGAGTCGCTATCCTCATCTTTTTCCCGACTCAGGTACTTCTTTCTTTTGTCCGTTCGAGGACGAACGGTTGTTTTAGAGGTGGAGAATGTGACGATCCAAAGGGTCATCACCTGCTTCCTTACCCGTTTTTGCACTTCTGAGGCCTTGAAAACCTCATTTAGGGTTGCCTCAATTTGCGTGCGCAGTCCGGGCGCGTAGCCGGAAAGCTTAAATATGAATTCTATGAGAAAAATGCTAAATTTTGATATTAAAAGGAATAAATTTGACTTCGTTCAACATTTTGGGTAAACGGACCCGGACCCGTGATTTGACGGTCCCGGAGGGTTTGTAGGAAAATATGGGACTTGGGCGTATGCCCGGAATTGAATTCCGAGGTCCCAAGCCCGAGAAATGAATTTTTGTGTGAAATTATTTTCTAGAAATAATTAAGGAAATTGGAGATGAAATTTGATTAGAAGACTATGGTATCGGGCCCGTATTTTGGTTCCGGCGCCCGGTACAAGTCTTCTATATGTTTTAAGCATTTTTTGTAAAGTTTGGTTGAAAACGGACGCCGTTTGACGTGTTTCGGACTTAAAATGGAAATTTGATGTTTTATGAAAATTTGGAAGGAATCATGGATTTTGAGGCTAGATTCGATGTTCATGATGTTATATTGGTGATTTGATCACTCGAATATGTTGGTAGGATGTTTTTGAGGTAGTGTGCATATGTGGGTTGGAGTTTTGAGGGCTCAGGTGAGCTTCGAGTAGGTTCCGGGATGCCTTAGACTTAAAAGATCAGATGTTGCAGGTTCAGGAAGATATTGCAGGTCTCTGAACCCTCCAGCGCGGTCTGCGAGAAATCGCGTGCGGCCGCGGAGGGGCCATTTCGGCCGCGGTCGCCTTTGAGCGGTCCGCGGTGGATGCTGTGCGGCCGCGGTCGGCTTTGTGCGGTCCGCACAGGGCTATGATCTGCAGGTCTTCGGAGAGGCCTGTGCGGCCGCGGTCCTTTTTGCGCGGTCCGCACAGGGAGTTTCAGAGGGGTATAAATAAACGGGAATTTCAGTTATTTTACACTTTTCAAAACCCCAAACATAAGAGGCGATTTTCCAAACAAACTTTCTTCTCTAAAACGATTGGTAAGTGATTTCTAACTCATTTTCTTCACTCCTCAACATCTTCAAACATGATTTCAACTTCAAATCAAGGATTTTCATGGGGAAATTGGGTCTCAATTTCAGGTCCGATTTCAAAACAAATTACATATTTGGGTTTGTTGGGGAATGGGTAATCGGGTTTTGGTTCGAACCTCGTGTTTTGACCATGTGGGCATGGGGGCATTTTTGACCTTTTTGGGTAAAACTTGGGAAAACTTATTTTCATGCATTAGGAATGATTCATTTAGCAATTATTAATGTAATTTAGTAAATTGTGACTAGATTCGAACGGATTGGTGGAGAAATCAAGGGGTAAAGCTATAATTGAGGCTTGAGTTGTATTCAAGGCATCGAGGTAAGTGTATGGTTTAACCCTAGCTTGAGGGATTAGGAGTTGAGTCTTATTTGCTGTTTGTTTTGTGTCGAGTACGACGTATAGGCATGGTGACGAGTATCTATACGTTGGTGTCGAGCATGACCATGGGTCTTAAATTGATAAATTCTTGTATTCTTAATGGATCTATGAAAGCTTGATCGATGATTCTCGATACTGAGTAAGGATTTAGTTTATTTCCGTGGACTTTAGTTATGACTGAGTATTGGTATTATTTGGGTCAAGTAGAAGTTGCATAAGATTGGTTATAGCTGACTCTCCATTGCCGGGACATTTGATTTGATATTTTGTTCCCTTGTCGGGAAGTTATTATATTGTTGTTCCCTAGACGGGATTATTTTGTTATGTTGTGTTGGATTGAAATGGGAGCGGGTGGTACGCCAACCACAAGATTGATGAAATGGGAGCAGGTGGTACGCCTACCACAAGATTGATGAAATGGGAGCGGGTGGTACGCCTACCACAAGATTGATGAAATGGGAGCGGGTGTTACGCCTACCACAAGATTGATGAAATGGGAGCGGGTGGTACGCCTACCACAAGATTATATGAAATTGGAGCGGGTGGTACGCCTACCACGAGTTGATGAAATGGGATCGGGTTGCACGCCTGCAACGAGATGAGCTGAATATGAAAATTTTCTTTATTTCTTATTTCCGTGTTAGAAACTAGATTGTAGATTTCTCATCTATTATCCCTGATATTCTAATTATATCTGTTACCCATGAAGCATGTTCCCTCCCCCAGTTTTAATTGTTTATTTCTGTTTGCCTCTTCGTTGTATGGTATATATATATCTGCACAGGTTTATCTGGAGTCTGGTCCTAGCCTCGTCACTACCTCGCCGGGGTTAGGCCAGGCACTTACCAGCACATGGGGTCGGTTGTGCTGATGCTACACTCTGTGCTCTTTTGCACAGATCCAGGTGTCGGAGCAGCTTGCGGTGCGCAGCAGTAGCCAGGGAGCAGTCCTTCAGTCCACTAGATTCCGAGGTAGTCCTGCAGGCGTCCGCAGGCCTGGCATCTCTTTTATCCCCTTTCTGCCCTGTTTCCCTTGTACCGAGACAGAGTTTTATCCTTTGTTTCAGACTTTGTATTTATCATTCTTAGATGGTCCGTGAAATGTTGTGACACCAGGTGCTGGGTAGAGGCTTGTATTGATGTTTAGACGCTGTTGCTATATTTTCTGTGCAGACTTCCGCTATCTTTTATTAATCGCAGTATTTCAATTGCTTGTTCATCTATAATTCAAATTGTTTAACCATGGATAAAATGAGTTAGAATATTGTTGGCGACTGTTCTTGGCTTGCCTAGCTTCCACCAGTAGGCGCCATCACGACTGCCGAGGGTGGGGATTTCGGGTCTTGACAGTTGTGACCTTGAGACTCTTGTGTTGGCCGATAATCATCAAGTGGTTTTTCAGGACCATTGTGTGCTCAAATCTTATCTAAGGTCGTTGCGGGCCCCCGACTCTATGTCTTTAGTGATCCCATAGCGTGTGTGGTGAAAAATTGCATTGCAAGTCCAAGTCCCGAGCCATTGGTCTAGAACTTGCCCTGAATGTTTGTTGAGGCAAAATTCTAAGTGAATTTTGACTTGAGACATGACTATAGGCTCTCCTTGGTCCAAATGATAGCTTGAACACATCCATAGCCTACCAAAGATAAAAATCTCTAGTCAACCCTTTTGAGCCTTAGACCTTTTTCTTTCAAAAACTATGATACAAGTCCTTACCCGTTCCAAAAGATACCCTCTCTTGGCACCCGATCTTTCCTTTAGCACATGGCAAAAGTATAAGTTTGGGGGGAGAGACGAGGATTGCAACAAAGTGGTAAAAAGGCATGAAAATGAAGAAAAGGAAAGGCAATGAAAAAGAAAGAAAAGCAAAAAGACAAAAAGAATGTTCAATATGAAAAATAACAAAAAAAGGATTCAAGAAAAGCAATGAAAGAAAGGTGTGGAAAGTTGAAAGAGGAGAAAAGGTTTGAAATGTATAAGAAAGAGAGACAGTGTGTCTCTCTAACCCCTTAGAAAGAAGTGAAATGACTCAAAGAGTCAAGTGAAAGTGTGCCAAATGAAACAAAAGAAGTGCTTAAGGGAAGATGGAACCTACTTAGACCAAACATTTCCTACCCTGAACCAAAAGCCTTCACAATGTCACCATGAAAGCCCTATATGATCTTGAGTTGTATGGAGCTTACATTAGTGGATACTCACATAAGGGGTAAGCATATGGTACCTAGAGCTAGACTTGTGACTTTTTCTTGAATGAGATGAGTGAACTTCCATTGACCTCGTTCTGAGTGCCACTATTCTAAAGGTGAGGTTTGCTTAGGGAGAGTTGAGGATGTGTGAGTTTGGGTTCCACAATGACCGAAGTAATAGAAAAGAGTTCTTTGATGTGTTGAGTCAATTCTTGATGCTCTTGTGTCGCACTTAATCCATGGAGTTTCAAAGGGTAAAACTTGTTAATGATTCATTTGTATTGAGGGCAATTGTTAGTCCCAATTGAGGCTAGAGGAGGTTACTTTAGGACAGCTGAATTTTCTTGGATTTTCCCTTGAGGGGTGGGTCTTATTTTGTTTGCTTGAGGACAAGCAAAAGCTTAAGTTTGGGGGAGTTGATAACTAGGGATTTGGATACATTTTATACTCCTTCTTGCTTAAGTTTTGATTAGAAATGTGTACAAAATAGTCCCAAAGGCTCACAAGTTGTGCTTGATTGCAGGTTTGATCAACAAAGTGACAAGAAGTCAAAGACCAGCAAAAAAGGAGTGAAACTTGCACAAGTATCAAGACAAGACAAAGCTCAGGCAAAACAAGGCCAGTGCGGCCGCACACCATTATGTGCGGTCCATACTGTGAGGTTCAGAGAGGTGGCATTCAGGCAAAAAGGGCAATGCGGCCGCACTAGGTATTGTGCGGTCCGCACTAGGATCAATGCGGCCGCACTCGATTTAGTGCGGTCCGCAGTAAGAAGGATCAGAGAGTTGCCAACTTCCGAGTTTCAAGCCAATGCGGTCCGCGCTCCATTTTATGCGAACCGCACTAGAAGCCTCCGCGGCCGTAGTCCATTCTCTGCGGTCCGCAGTGCCTGAGTTCAGAGAGATGGGTTTTCAAGTTTAGAGCCTTAGTGCGGCCGCACACCATTTTGTGCGGTCCGCACTAGCCCCGCAGAGGTATTTTTGTCCAGAATTGTCAGCTTAGTATAAATAGCTTCTTTTCCATTTTTAGAGGAGGCATATAGATTTTGTATTGAGCTGCGCTCGTGACTTCTGTTTCTTTAGCTATTTTGGGCAATTTTATCTTCATTTCAACATTGAATCTTCTAGTTTACCTCAGTAATTAATTAATATGAGTTTTTCTTCATCTATTTCTATGTTTCTTTCTCTAATTATGAGTAGCTAGACCCATCAGCTAGGGTTGTGGCTCAACCCTAGTGTGGGTAATTGATGGATCTTGTATTTTAGAGCTTGATTGACTATGGGTGTTTGATATTTGGGCTAATTCCATATTTAATTGCTAAATTAGTGGTTGCAAATACTATTTTGTATTTAGTTGACTTTTGCTCTTCTTGAGAAAGAGAGCCTAAGTCTCTAGAATTAGTCCAACAAGGAATTGGGGCGTACTCAAGAGAATTGATAGCTCCAATTAAAGGGTTAAACCGAGAGATCGTAATACCCGACTTGATCCTCAATTGCTTGTGCAAATTCGCATACCCAATTGGTCTTGAGAGAGTCAATTCGGGCAAAATCACTCGAACAACCGAGAGGTATAGAGTGAGTAGAATCGAGCAATGGTTATATCATACCCCCAAATGTGTCAATCTAGCTTTAGATTCAAGAATTCGTCAATTGACCACCTAGGCGAAAGTCACTACCCTAGTGCCCTTTAATCATTTGAACAACTTGCAATAGTTTAATTCTAGCTTATAATAGTTTGATTGAGCATTGTAGTTTATAGAATTAGAATCATAATTAAAACCCCAAAATGTGTAGAAGTGCAATTTGGAGCAAATACACAACTCCGCTTTAGATAGACACCCAACTCCAATATCTAGCTCTCTATGGAATTCGATCCCGACCCTAAATCGGGTAAAAGCTGCTTCGACCTCTCTCGCTACTTAATAGTAGTGCAGGGTTGGCCGTGATCAGGTGGCCGGAGCGTCATTTCTGATGCCGGAATCGGGGCAGGGAGATCAGCGCGAGAAGAATTACCGGCCATTGCGTTAATTTGGCAAAGAAAAGAGGCGATGAAAGGAAAGGATGGAAGTTTTCTGCTCACAAAGAACAAGTAAAGCTTGAAATATCAGGAAGAAATTATACTCGCAAGAATTCTTTCAAGCAAAAAGCAAGGGAATGTGCCAATCGATTGATGTATTCCTTCTATTTATAAGAGACACGAATCTCCCAAGCACGAAACCCAAGAGTCACCAATCGAACCCGGTGGCACACGAAACGTTTCAATTCTCTAAAAACGTGTGTCATAATGGCTACAATCACGAAACAACGTTTCGGCACAAACGACGTTTCGATTCCAAAACGGTCGCAACGGTCCAGGAATATCGAAAGGGTGTCGTCGTCTCTTCCAAACTCAAGAGGCACAGCTGAGGAGTGAGTAGTCATATTTCTCTCGTATTGATAACGATCGTAATCCGTCTGCCGAGCCCGACAGGGGACAACCCCGACAAATAAAGGGACTAACTATATTGGTCAAAACGTCCCGCTCACGAACGGCGAGGCAGCAAGGATCGACATTGTACTTTCCATACCCTGCCCTCACGACTTTCACCAAGGCAAGAGATAACGACTTCCAGATAATGACCGAGGCATACGAGGTATGAAAAAGCGTCGGATCAAGTACATAGCCGGAGGTCCAGGACTATATATATAGGAGGGTAAAAACCTCTTAAGGGGGGCTTCCCCTCTCGATCCTTCTCAGGATCTCTCTCTCCCCCCATCTTTCTCTCATCTGTAATCATGACAAACAAAAAGAAGAACAAAAGGAATCTCTGGGCAAATATGTAATATGTTCTCCCCCATTGATTGGGTTGGGGGGGGGGGGGGGGAGGGGAGCAATAATGGAAAGCTTCAATAAGATTGGTTATCTTCACCTCATTTACAGACAATTCTTCCATTTGGTTTTTGATCTGGAGTTTATTATGTTTAACTAAGATTTACCCTCATCATTTTCATTGATTGATTTATTCAATAAGGTTCCAATATCTTTTGAATCAAACACCAAGCAGGTTGGGATCAATTTTTTGAATCTTTAATGTTCATGTTATAATTCTATTTAAGTTCGTCTTAGTCCAATGTAATAAAAAGAATTTAGTAACATGACCTGCAACTATGTAATAATAGAGCAAGCGAGGATCAGGAAATACATGCCAACTCCAAAGGGATGAAACATGAAAAAGAATATAAAGAGAGATTCGAATGATGAGTCCTATAGCAGCACATGCTCATGCCCCTTATTAGTTGTTACAGATGCAACCCACGAATGGAATTAATGAGAAGGAATAAACGTATCCCTCCCTCTCCTATTATTGATTCCAAATGTGGGTCATGTTTCGGAATTGAAAGAAAATCTAGTAGTTATGAGGCTGTCCATGATACTTTTCCACAGTAACTTTTAATCTTGAGGCAGTTTCCTCTCTTTAATACAACTAACTCAGACAAATTTGCACAGGAAAATAAATCCAATGAGAGATCGAAGAGAAGAGGATAAAATAGACTTTTGAGGTTAGTGCACATGAAATGTGAGCTTTTAGCATGTGGAGAGAGATCAGAACTTCAGAAGAAGCACATGCTGATATGACAAACATCCTTCTAACTTCTGGTCTGGACCCAATGCCCTTAATTTGCTTTTTTGCTAACCTGACGAAGTTACATTAATTTTTCATGGCTCCCTTTCCCTCACTAGTTTATTTCACTTTTATCAAAGGAGAATTAAGCCTCCCCCTTCCTCCTCCTCCTTGTATTATTTTAATCATATGGCCTTTTGTGGATGATGTTTTTGGTATTTAATAATGGCACTTCTCACCCAATCCACAGCGTCCACTGCGCTGCTTTTCATTCTTCGGCATCTTTTACCTGTCAGCCAGTATTGACTAATCACTACACTTGCTCTTATTACAAGCTAGGACTATTCTACCCATCTTTTACAATGGTGGTACGCGGGTGAGCATGTATGTATTGACTATTAGTGTATCGATTTGTTTTGTCTACCAAAACTTAGATGAGATAAAAATAACTTACTT